TGCTTTAAAAGTAATTTCTATACTGGTTTACTTTTGATGCTATATTAACTTATTTTTTGTTTTTCAAATAAAATGAATTTTATTTTTAAGCTGTATATATTTTCAATTTTTATAAATATCTTGTTGCATGAAGGTCAATAAAACATATAAATTATATATACAATATATCTATATTATAAACATCATAGCACCCCAAACGCAAAGTATCATGATATATATATATATATACATATATATATATGTGTGTGTGTATATATATATATTTTTTATGTATAATAATATAGAAATATAATATGTACATAATGTAGAAATATAATTCTTACATGTATTATATATAGTATATATGTATATATATAATATATAAAAATATATATAAAAAATAGAGAGATATATAAAGAGAGACTAGATATTGTTTCTCTTATTTCTTGTCACAGATCATAAAGTTATTGCCATTGGAATTCTGCTATGACAGGATAGACAATTAGGTTAAAGACTAAATGGCTTTTCAGTGTCAGCAGAAGACAAGATTCAAAGGTTGATATTTTCCCCCAATATTAACAACGTGTGTATAATAGTGTATAGATTTAGTATCTCATACTTTCGATGGATGGAAATACAGGAAGGTAAATGTATAAAATCTAGGATATACATGTTGCTGCATATTATCCTTTAATTCTTTTCCATTAACATTGATAAACACTTATTGTTGAGATTTGCTTTTTACTTTCTATATGTTTGTAGTGTGTAATTTATTTTTCTGATTGCCAGGAGCACATGTGCTTGCCAGAGAGAGACAGATAGACAGATGGGAGGGGTGGGTCAGAGAGAGACAGATAGACAGATGGGAGGGGTGGGTCAGAGAGAGACAGATAGGCAGATGGGAGGGGAGGGTAAAGTGCCTCCCAGTGGAGTGTGGCTGTGCTGCAATCCCTTTTTTATTTCTTTGTCTTGTCCAGGTTAGGAGTATTTGGGGTATACACGTATACCTGCTCACAATGATTTTTTTATTTACATTTTTACATTTCATTTTATGTTATACATTCAATCACATTATTTAGCTTACAAAGTGAATATTTCAACACGTAACTCACCATGATTTTTAAGCCCCTGGGGCCAGGATTCAAACCACTGTTGATTATGTGGTATTTGGCTCGCTTAACCACTAGGCCATTCCTGTTTAATATATTTTTTAGCAATAAACATATATTATGCTTATAGTAAACTATATAGCAAAGGCATTTCTAAAAATAATAAATTATTTAGACTGTACACAGTTCTCTAAAGATGTTATCCATGTTCAGAAAGTAAAGACTAATCTACAATAAAACTAAGAGAAAAGAAAAAAAAAGCTCTCTAGCACGATGATTTGATGAATTGGGCACATTATAAGCTCTCTGAGTTATTGTTAGAAAGAGCACTGCGGAAGCACTATGATTTTGCATTCACTTTTTGACTAGCCATTATTGTTGTTCAGATTGCTTAAACAGTTCAACCATACATATTTAATCACTGCATAGAAAACTTAATTCTAGGGAGTGATAAGCAATCAGGGCAATAGGAAAAAAATAAAACTAAAAAGTGGCTTGTCCCTAAATAAGCACAGCCTATTATTAGATGTCAAATAAAATTTTAATGCACTTTTATAGGAAATAGAACTAAACTCTGATGGATATTATTTGCATTGTTGTAAAATATCCCCTTCTCTTTAAAAGTATATAGTGTATATGTAAGTGTAAATTATATATCATACATCATTTCTAGGAATTTTATAATTTCCTATCCAGTTCTAAGCTCACATCCACAGAGAAGATGCTGGAGTTTGGGTAGTATTTAACCCATTTCTAGAACAACCATGGTTTCATATTGTGGGAGATCTATCTTGCAGACACCTTTCCCATTTCCTAGCTGACCACAGACCGCTTACCATTTGTAAAATGAGACTCAGTTCACATAAATAGCTCTTCATGTTTTTTATGTCTTAGGACATCTGAAAAAGCAAACTGTACTCATCCCTTCTGTCACATTTTCTCATTGCTGTAAAAGCAAGGCAGAAAGGCATTAAATGTTTGCATAAATTATTATTCTGTACTTGAAACTGCATATAGATTTTAGTTTAGGTTAAAATATAGGAGGGGTAAATTCTTTCTTTAGCTCAGGGAACATTTAATTCCCAGGAGATGAGAAGGAAATATTTTATGTCAATTAGTGTATCAGGTCTGTAAGACAATGATATGTCTATTATTCAAGTGTTACTGACATGAAATTAAATGCATAATTACTTTCTAGAGTTCATGATTTGCTTTCTTCTGCTGCTTTTGGTTTATTTATTTTTTAAAAGAAAAGTAATGTCTACTGACTGCTGGATTATAATTCAACCTAATATCCAAAAATCAGATTCCTTTTCTCTTTTCTTTATTTCTCATCAGAGATGATAAAGATTTTGCCATTGGAATTCAGCTGTGACAGTATAGATGATTAAGCTAAAGTCTAATTGGCTTTGCAGTGTTAGCAGAAGTCAAAATTTAATGGTTGAATTTCCCCCCCACCACATATTAAAATAAACCTCTGTGATTTACAGTCTCAACAGAACTCTGTTGATTAAGAAAGTCTTTTCATGGGCAGTAAAGAACTGATTATGAAAATTAAAACTTAAACTTCCAAGTTAAATTTTTCTTGGTTTGACTTGCTGGTGCGGTGGTAATGTGTGACTCAAGTTATGCTGGATCCACATGAAAGATGGTGAGTTCAGTTCCCCGGTCAACCTGTACAGACTGGGTGCGTGTACCCATAATACTAGCTGGCTGGGAAGGTGGGAGCGAGTGGTCGTGGAACGAGACCCTTCAAGAGTGTTTGCCTTTCTCTCTCCTGCTCTCATTAAAGAAATAAACTTTTGAAAAATAATTGTAAATATTATTTTTAATATTACATTTTTCTTTCTGAACTTTGTATAATGTAACATTGTTCAAACTATTATTTAAAAGCATAAATGTTAAGATAGGATAGATATCTTAAAGCATGTGAAATCCATTGATGATTTGAAAGGAAAATATAGATTTAATTTTATGTAGTGTTTGAAATAACTGTATTCACAACAACTTACTTTATAGAATTGGGTAAGGGCAAAACCTCCGACTGGCCTGCCATGGGCCAGTAGGGTGGATGAGGCCCAGACGGCTGTGCACCTCTGCGGCTGCCACCACGGGGATTTACATGGCGGTATGCTCTACTTACAAGGCAAACCCAAGTATTCCCTGTGGTGATTGAAGTAAACATGTGCCAGAGAACTAGGACACGAAATGAGAAAATAGTTCTCTGACAGGCTGTAAACTTGCTATTATTTTTCTCCAATGTTTCCCTGTGGAGTTCTTTAGCCAGACCTTGTCCAAAACCAAGAGTCTGCCTTTGTCCAGGCTTGTAATTCTAAAGTAACTAGAGCTCTCCAGCTAGCCTATGTTTCTGTGATTTAAAAGTTAAAGCTAATGGAAAGGGATTTTTTTTTTTTCATAACCTTATAATAGTGGCAACTAAGCTTCCATTTGTACTTAGTACTTGATCCAAATTCTTCCTTATTTATTTATTTATTTTTTTTAAAAAAGGAGACTTTTTGGGACCAGCAGTTAGCGTAATGGCTGTGTCACTGGACTCCCATGTAGTTGACTGCAGTTCGAGTCCCGGACCCTGTGGCTTAAACTCACACTGGGCACGTATGCGTGCGTGCCTAAGATCCTGAGAGGAGAATGGAGGAGAAGGGATTGTGGCATGGCCATCCCCCCTCCCCGGGGGGGAGGTGATTTCTCGCTTTCTGTCTCTCTGTCTCTCTCTGTCTGTCTGGCGAGCGCATGCACCCTATACCAAAAACCTCTCAAAAAAAAAAAAAAAGAGACTTTTGCTATAGGCCAGATGTGTTTACTAGAGAGACAGAGAGACAGAGAGACAGAAATCACTCCCCAAGGCAGATGCCCATGCCACAATCCCTTCTCCTCCATTCTCCTCCTGGGATCTTGGGCACGCACACACAGGTGATCAGCGTGAGTTTCAAGCCTCTGGGTCTACTACATGGGACTCCAGCAACGTAACCATTACACCTTCAGCTGGTCCCCGATCCAAATTCATCTTTAAACCACTCCTTGAATTAGAAACCCATTGACCAATAGTGCATGAAATATCATCTCATTTTCATGGCTGTTGTGAGGACATAGCAGTTATAAAATAATCCTCAAAATCTATTTCTGTGACAACAAAATTTTCTGTATTCCTAAAAAGATTATATATACATATTTTAATGTAAACTTTTAATTTTGAATTAGAACCACTGGAGTCATGGTATAGGGTAGATATTTGTTCTTTTTACTTATTTATGTGTAAATGAGTATCTGCATTTACAATGATCCAAAACATTGGCACCCAGGTCTCCACACCAAGTGCAAGAAACTAAAATGTAATTTGAGATGGATATGAGAGTGAGAACAGATGTTAAGGAGCTTCCTAAAGTTAATTGGTCACATATTCTGAATACTACAACAGAGTTTACCAAAAATGGGGAGGAACATAAAACCATTGGAAAAATGAACATGTTATCTAACACTGCACCCAAGTTCCGTCATTCTTATGTCAAAAAGTGCACATTTTTGAGTAAAATGTACATTTAATATCTGGCAGAATTATCCCATTAATGGAGAAAACATTAAAATCTCATAATCTCTTAGAGATTAAAATTTTACTTCTTTCAACTAAATTCCAGGTTCATGAATTATAATTTTAAGCATATATCACACAGTGATTGAGTTTATATTATCACTGTAATAATGGAAGTCAAACTTTTATATGATCATTTATCAATATTCTCCACAAAATCACCTTCAGAACGCATAACAAATCAAAATATGGAAGAGGTCAGGACTAGAGATTTCTCTGGAGAGAAATTCTCATTTATTCTGAGTAGATGCCCATTGGGATGGTAACAATGACTGAATTGAAGTGTTATTCTTTTTCACTTTTAGGGGCAGATGTTATCAACTTCGATGGCCACGTCGTGTTGCCATACAGATTTAGAAACAAGAAGATGAAAACACTGAAAGATGTGATTGCCTTGAAGTTTAAGACCTCTGAGAGCGAAGGGGTAATCTTGCATGGAGAAGGGCAGCAAGGGGATTACATTACTCTGGAACTGAAGAGAGCCAAGCTGGTGCTCAGCTTAAACCTGGGTATGTCCTGACGCTGGGCACTATTTTTTTTTTCCATTTACTAATATTCCCATTAGAAAAAGTTAATGTTGCTAAATCTTGTCAATGTTAATTGTAGTAGGAATTCACTTTATGGCATCAAATCATCCTTAATCTGTCATGGTTGGTATATACTGGTATTCCTATTCATTGAAGAACTGTTCACCATATACCTGTACTTACATGGTACCATTGCAAGCTTCAGAGTAACAAGTAAACAAATATATAACTCCTTAAGCTCATAAAATGTGGGACCAGGTGCAGCAGTTAGACAACACAAGGACACTTCAAAAAGTTTATGGAACAAGTAGAATTAAGTGCAAGTTTATTCTGATGGAAAAAAAATGTTTAAATCTATGTATAATTTTTTCATAATACACATTTTCTGTGAACTTCTTGAAGCCCCTCCCAAAGAAATGGTGTCAATGCTAATAAGAATTTTGAAATAGGTTAAGTAGGTTAATTTGAAAGCAATTTCAGAAGCAAGGGGTTCAGATTTGAATACAGAATGGGGAAGGGTTTCGAGGATAAAATATTCCAGCTGAGAACTGAGTTACTTGACAAGAGACTAGCCACAAAAATATCAAGACGAGGATTTTATAGGAAGGAATTATTTAAAAGAAAGAGCTGGCATACTCAAGGAATAGGAATGAGACTGGTATGAATAAATGTGAGTTATTAGGATAGGAGATGAAATCCAAGAGTTAGGAATTGCCAAATTATGTGGGATCCTGAAGGTCATGGTGAAGGAATTTATGCTACTTTAAGAACAGGAAGCTATTGGAAGGCTTTAAACTATAAGGCAATGCAATCTTATTTTTTTACAAGTTCACTGAGACTTTAAGAAAAATTGTTTATATAAGCATGAGTCAAAGCAAGACTTTGCATACCCCAGGTGAAAGACAGCACTGACTTTCACGAGGTGGTTATCAGTGGAGATGCAGAGAATGTGTTTATGGAGGAAATTGTTGCACTGGCAAAGCCTGCATGACTTGTGGTGGATTGAACACAGTGTAAGAAAAAATACTACAGAGAAAAATACTTCCTTACAATTGGAATTCAGTTCAAGTGGACGTTAGTGTCACTTTCAAATATGTGGAAAACTTTAGGAGGAACTCTATTTGAACACAGTGCATTTGAGTTGCCTATTAGACATCTACATAGAACTTTCTATTATGGAGTTGCATGTATAAGACTGAGAGCAGAAGGTGCTGAAATGGAGACTAAGAGGTGAACAGTGAGTGGGAGAAGATGGAGAATATATAGTATCACAGAGACCATGGGGGAAAATGAGGTGGTTGACTGTGTCAAATACATCTAAAATGCCACACCAGATGAAGGCAGAGAAGTGGCTATTGACTTTAACATATGAAGGTTATAGTTGACTTACTTTCAGTGGAAGAGAAAGCATGGAAGCTTTATATACTTCTTTTATGGGTTAAGAAAGGATGAGTGATGTAGGATGAAATACTTTGAAACTAGTTAACTAGAAATGAAGGAAGCAGAGAAATAAAAAGTTGACTGGAGGAAGAGGTGGACTCAAAGGAGTTACTGTTTTGTGTTGGGATTTTATTGTTGTTTTTCAAATGCACAATATTGATAATACATGTTTGTATGTTCATAATGAAGTTAGGGTTTCTGTAAAGCTAAAGAGCACCTCACAAAATGGATAGTGGCATTCAAAATTACAATTTATGCAAAGTAACAGTCTCTTTTCTTGCCTAGCTAAAAATTCTAGGATCTCTATGAGGATTATTTAAAGGGTATCATGCATTAAGTTATTCATTCTGTGACAATAATGTCAGACTTCTATAAAAACTGTATACACTAAAATGTATAATCTAAAATCCATGTGCCAAGTGAATACCAATAGAAAGCTACAAAACTGAAGATTAGAATACTAAAAAAACACCCTAGCTGTTTAACTTCTTTATCAATGACCAATTTTACTGGTCCAAACATTCCTGCAAATGGCTTGTACTACTTATATTAATTTGTATTACTTTAAAAATCCATATTGAGGCTGGCTGGTGGCATGGTGGTTAAGGGCACTAGACTCCCACATGGCCAATCATGGTTCGAGTCTCAGAGCTGGTAGCTTGCTTTCTCACTTTCCCTCTCTCTGATCAAATTTAAAATAAATAAATAAAGTTAAATAAAATAATTCTTTTAAAAAATTTTAACAGTTTTTTTAGAATTACTTAATTTTTAAAATTTATTCATTTCTTATTTTAATTTGACCAGAGAAAGACAGACACACAGAGAGAAGGAAAGTGAGAAAACAAGCCACCAGTTCTGGGACTCGAACTGTGGTGGGCCATGTGGGAATATCCAGCACCTTAACTACCATGCCACTTGCCAGCACCAAATAAAATAATACTGTAAAAATAATTTCTTAATTAAAATAATCAGTATTATACTGAAAAATGTAAATTTAATGAGTTTTACCTTAAAGATACTCCATTTATTATAAAACTTTTCACACTTTAAATCTGATTTGATAGAAATGATAGTTTTTATAAGAAAAAAAGGAGGAAAATCACAAAAAATTGCACAAATAATTATGCAAAATTATTAATTTTATATTAAAACAATCATAATATTAAAACAGATAAGAACACCTTAGAAAATACAAATGTCAAATATGGAGGTTTAATGTCATTCACAGACAAAAAAATCGTATTACTTCACAATAATTCCAAGCCAATAAGAGGAAATATGGGCAACATGTGTAAAGGAAAAGTGGTAAAACACATAGACATTCTACAAATACCAGATATTCTACTACACTAGCTAGGAAAGAAGTGCACCACATAATAAGTTATCAATTATTGTCAAATAAGTAAATACATTTAAAAATTATTAAAAAATGTTAAAGAACTGGTTCCAGTTGATGGCACAGTGGTGAAGGCACTGGACTTCCACATGACCGATAATGTATGGAATCCTGGACCCAGCAGCTTGAATGCCAGGCACATGTCCTCGTGTGCCCAAGATCCCAGGAGGAGAATGGCCAAGAAGGGATTGGCCATCTCCTTGGGGGATGATTTCTCACTTTTTCTCTCTGTCTCTCTCTCTGGCAAGCACATGTTGCCTATGGTAAAAATCTAAAAGAAAAGGAAAAGAAATTGGAGAACCATTTGCAAATGTACATATCACAATGTAATGTTCACTATTGAAGAAAATAAATATGTCTATATATTATACACTGTACAGACTTCGAAAATGCTGTAATATGCTAAGATGTACAGTGATAACATGTAGAAGAAAAACCACAATATAAAATTAAAATAATGATATCAGCATTGGTATGTGACAAAAAATACTTTGTATATTCTGCAAATCAAAACATATTTTCAAGGAAACCAATTTAACAATGTGTCTTCAGATATTCAAAATCACCTATATATTTCATTTCAGGAGCCATAAGGAAAAAATGAGAAATGATCACAAAGAAACTAAGTCAAAAGTTGTTCTCTGCAATATTAATTACCATGTTAAAATTTTTTTTTAAATTTTAAAATTGTTGGTAAGCAATTAAAATATTTGTGCTAACTTTTAATTATATGAAGGAATACAATAAAACTTTTAGTAAAAATTGAAGGATATAAAATATATTAATAGTTTATATTAAGTATATTTAAGTATATGTACATAAATATAATATTTATATAATGAAATATTTATTATGTATATAATGAAGTATATTTCAGAGGTTTTTGCCTTAGGGAGTGTGTGTTCACTGGAGAGAGAAAGACAGAGACAGAGACAGTGAGAGAGAAAGTGAGAAATCGCCCCGCAGGGGGATGGCCACACTGAAATCCTTTCTCCTCCATTCTCCCAGAATCTTGGGCATGCACACACATGCACCTGGCATGAGTTTCAAGTCAGTGGGTCTGTGACTCACTGTGGTCAGTCATGTGGGAGTCCAGCTACATAACCGCTACGCCATCTGCTGACCCAACCAAACTGTTTTTAATAAAGAAAATACCTTTAGTCTTCACATTGTACTTGTTAATTATAGTTATTATAACATTGTTATTCGTAATAGTAAACGTGTATTCATTATGCTACCTGGCGGGAAGGTAGCCTTAACTTAGTTTTAAAATAGGACCCAATAGAAGAAAAGGAGGGGTAGAGGAAAAGGACCCAATACAAAAATCTCAGTACTTCTGTAAAAGATGCATGTACACCCTATGTCCACGTGCTTTACACACTCTAACAGATCAGTTCAGTTATATCTAAAGGTGTATATTTTTAAAACTTTTCTTCTTCCTTTTTAATTCTTCAGTGAAACATGTAAACTAAATTTATTCATTTATTTTTTTAGAGAGAGAGATTTTTGCTAAAGGGCATGTGCACTCAGCAGAGAGACAGAGAGAGACAGAAAGCGAGGGGGATGGCCATACTGCAATCCCTTCTCCTCTTGGGATTTTGGCCACATGCTCGTACATGTGCTCAGTGTGAGTTTAAGCGGCAGGTCTGGAACTCAAACCGTAGTGGACCATGCGGGAGTCCAGCAATGTAACCACTATACCACCTGAGGGGCCCTAGAGTAAACTCTTAAAAAGTAACAGTATAACATTATAGTGCTAAAACAAGTCAGGGGCTCTATGCCCTCACCAAAAAGTGGGATGTAGTTTACCAGAGTTTCATTGACTGAGTAGAATTTATGTCAGACATAGAAATACATCCATTAAAGTATCTTCTGTCACTCTCGAGTGCTAGTATACAAATATGAGATATGTCTGCCTGCTGCTCAGTCTTCTAATGTAAATATTTAAAGTAATAAAACTCAGTGTAGCCTTTCCACTTAGATTTTTTTCTACTTTTCTTCCTCTAGTTCCCTTCTCTTGCTCCCTCTGTCTCTCTCCTTGATTCCCCTCTCCTTCACACACACACACAATCACCATTATACATCAGCATTTTATTTTATCACCATGCATTAAAAAAACACTTGGAAGAACCATAGACTATGTCAGATAGGGGGATTATTAGCATACTAAATGTCAGATAAGAAAAAGAAAGAATTTAACACGATCCTCAGTTGTGTATCCTCTTACTTCCATTATTCTACTGATTCTGAAACTATATTATAGCTTTTTAGAATTTAATCTTGCCTGACTATAAAAGGCAACATAGGATTAGACAAAATTAAAAAATAAAAAATATATGTATGCATCACCATCGATGAACTTAGTATTTTAAACTTTAACAACCATTTGTTCCTTTATTTATTAAATTTTATTTTTCTTGGCTCAAGGAATTTGTTTTCTTTTCTTCTTATGATTAAGAAGTGCACATGTACAAGTTAAAGAGAAAGAGAAACAAAGACCTTCCACAAGGTCTCATCGTGCTATGACCCACTTTTCCCAGCCCTCCAGCTCCTTAGGATCCTGGGTGTGTGCAATCATGCCACAGCAGGGATCTGAACCCGGGTTACCACATGGCTTCCAACACTGCAGGCCACTAGCATTGCCACTACACCATAGCAGCTATGTGGCTGATTGTTCTTACTTAGCTTTGTTGCTATGGAGATCTTATTTCAAAGCTAAATTAACACTCCATATATATTTCTGAATATTTAAGTTTTAATTTAAAGTATAACGTGAATAAATAAATTCTGTATGCCAATAAATACTTCATAGCACTTACTTTGCAATCATGGCTTTTAGAGATGATGAAAACAGAAAATTGCCATGGTGTTTGTCTTGATCAATGTTAACAATCACGACAGATTAACAGGCGGCAGTCAAGGAGTATTCTATAAGCCAGACCCTCAGCCCTTGGTTTTCCCAGGATCTTACCCCAAGCTAATAATTAGGTAGAGTCAATGACAGGATCCACAACTCCAACTTTAAAGCCCATGTGGCACTGACTTTACTGGGAACCTGCTGAAATTTAGCAAAATTCCTGACACACACACTCACTGGGCAAAAAAAGGGAGGAGGAAGAGAGGAAGGAGAACTCCACCCCCCCTTTTCTTTAGTGAGTGAACTGTTTGCCATCTTTAATAGTGTGTTTGTACTCTGAACATAGACCTGTTTTTAAGTAAGTTTCATACTGGTTTCCCCAGGTTAACTTCTAAGGATAGAGGTTTGTTTGTTTGAAGAGGTTTTTGCCTTAGGGCTTGCAGGAAAGAAGGAAAGACAGTGACAGGGGAAGTGAGAAATCATTCTTCAGGGGGATGGCCAGGTCGCACTCCCTTCTCCTCCATTCTCCTCTCAGGATCTTGGGCACGCACGCACAAGCATCTGGTGTGATTTTTCAAGCCACCCTGTCTGGGACTCGAACTGGAGTCGGTCATGTGGGAGTCTGTGATATAACCACTATTCCATCTGCTGGCTTAGAGTAGAGCTTTGATGGCCTGTCTTCCTCTAGACATAAAGGAAAGATCTTTGCTACATACACAGAATTGGCAGTGTCATCATTGCCTTGTCTCTTTCTCACTCCTGTTACTCAGGAAGCAACCAGCTTGGCCCCATATATGGCCACACATCTGTGACAACAGGAAGCTTGCTGGACGACCACCACTGGCACTCAGTGGTCATCGAGCGCCAGGGACGCAGCATTAACCTCACTCTGGACAGGAGCATGCAGCACTTCCGCACCAATGGCGAGTTTGACTACCTGGACCTGGACTATGAGGTACAGCCATGGCTTAGTATTTCCAGAGCACTCCGGAGCCATTAGGTCCAGACAACTTCAGAATGAATGTCCTAACAATGTAGTAGCAGTATGGAAACACACACACACACACACACATAAAATAAAAGCAGAAAATATACTTAATTTTATTTAATTTGTAGTTGACAATAATTATTTACTAATATTCTTAGGGCACCTGAACTGTGCACTTTGTCAGATGAGGGAGTCAGATTCAGAATGGCCGTTCTTGTTTTGTTTGTTTGTTTTACATTTTCCTTTTGAGATACTCCCTGTTTATCAGAACAGTGACCAAAAACCCAGCTTCACAAAGACAACATCGTCGTAAACGTCGTAGTGTGACCTAATGTGGTAAGGGTTGACTACATTAAATTAGTTTTTCACACAGTGTCCAAAAGATAGCCGGTATTGCTGTGCTTCCTTTAACATTCTAAAATATACTGTGATATCCTGCAAGCTTGCTGTGTTGCCCTAATGTTCCTTGTTACTCAGTTTTGAAATTGCAGACTTTTACATACATACGTATCTGTGATACATCTATATTTTTAAGAATGAGCAATAAGCTTACCAGAAAATAACACGTGAAAAAGTATAAAGTCACTGCTATGTTTTTTAATTTTCTTTATATATTTAAATAATTTCTAAATCTTGTGCTATAAGAATATACGACATATGCTCCTAAATGGTAATTTGGAATAGAATATGCTACATTAATCCTGATGGCTTATTAATTAGTTTAAAGTTATTGGGAAGTAATTGCTGCCTCCCCCAAATGAATCTCTTAAAAGCGAAATGATCTTTGAAAGGGACAGAATGAAAACTTCCCAGTCATTTCTGTCTTCTCTGAATTAGTAAGAGTCTTGGCCCACGTAACTTCTCTCCAAAGCATGAACGAACTTCAAGATGAATTATTCATCCTCCATTAATAAACTTTGAAGTACTGTAGAAGAGGTGAGAAATCCCGGAACATTAGCAATGGGCACACATAATTCCAGTTTTTAAAAAACAGAATTAAAAACTTGGGGTCATAGACCCTATTGAGTCTTTGATGAAATCTATAAATATTCATGCCCACACAACACTTTCCACACAGGCCCAGAGGACTCTTTGAAGACCATCTACGTACAATACCATGTTTGAGAACCTGGTCCCTGCCAGATACACATTTGTTAGAAAGGAAGAAATTTAAATTTATAAGAAAGAATTAGGATAAACTTAACTCACTTCCCTTGGTTGAGCTCCTTCCTGATTACCCTTCTCTTAGATACTGCAGTTATCCATGGGCGCTGCAACCAAAGCAGTTGCACCTACTCTGACATTCCTACATTTTTATCTTAGTATAAAGGAACTCCCTTTGCTTATTTTTTTAAATTACTTTCTTAATGTCGGTGCATGTATCTATTTGCTGCATCTATACACTAACTAGATTCATACCTCATCGACTGCATGAAAATTAGCTTCCAAACTAAAATAAGAGAAATTGTGTAACATTCATACTGAAGTACTTGGAGTTCAGCCTACAGGATCAGAAACCTAATATTCTTATTTCACAAAACTGAAGGTGCTGCCTCCTGCCCTCTGAATATTACAGGACTTCAGTTCTTCCAGCCTGCTCCAAGGCCAAGGGCATTGAGTTGTAAGGGCAGGGCTGTGCTTGTCAATGTTTAACGACCAGCTCTCTCTGAAGAGGAAGGAGAGGATGCCCTGATTTGTAGCATTTGTCGATTTTCTTGTTGTAAATTCCCCACACTGGTTGATTTCATGCAAACAGCAGGGCAGCAGTGGGCAGAGTGGAAAGAGGTGTCTGAGAGCACACTGTGACACAGTATTTCCGTCACACAGACACAATAAATGTAAACGACCTCAAGAGCACACAGAATAGTAAAATAGAGAGATGAGTTCTGAGTAGTTATTAATTTTGAATTTAATGTAATCTGTTTCATTTAAACCCTATATAATTTAATCTTTAATAATGGCTCTGTTTAACAATCAGCTCCCAGGAGCCCAATACGAGCAGGACCCATTGCAGTGCTGCTAGGGGTAGATTAAATCTGTTTATTGCCATTCCCAGGGATGTACATCACGAAAGAAGCAATAGCATACAAGTTAGAAGTTTGCTTCTCTCACATAACTCAGTGCAGGCATTTTTTTTGTGAGGTAGCCAGAGTTTACCTCATTCCCACCTCCCCGCAACCTGGGCACACTATAAAGTCTGCCAATTATCTTTGCAGTCAAACCGCTACCTATGGTGGGTGAGATGGATGATGACAAGAGACTTGCTGCAGCTCATTTTTCTTCCTCCAAACCAATGAGACCAAAGAGCAGGCAGTAAAGGGGCATTTGGCCTGGATTTTCTCTGTTCTTTAGTCAGACTCCAGTTGACATCCGCGTCAGATGTCTCACTGTTGTCTGGTACAGAACAGCTCTGTTGGGAATGAGGAGAATGACTTCCCTTGCCCCTTGCAGAACCACAAACTGGCTGGGATTTCAGAGAAAATCCATCACATGGGCTCAGACAGGCGAGGAAGCTTGGGCTAGAATCCTTCCTGTTTCTTACTGGTTGTGTGATGATAGACAAATCATATTCCATGTATGAATGAATATAATAACATATTTCCATAAAGTGAATATAGTAGCGTATTTCTCAGGGTTTTGTAAGGAAGCAATAACATATATATGCATGTATCAATATATATATTTTATACACACACACATATAATTGAAGATTAATTAGCCTGTGTCTAATTGCATATTTATTCTCTTTCTTTCAAAAGGAGTCAAGAGGAAGGTTGCACTAGGTTTAGGTGGCAGCTCCAGGGTGACCAAGGCCACAGACAGCCCCTTTTATCTTGCTGCTGCTCTGTCCCCACTCCAAATCACTCCAAGATGGATGCTAACATTCCACTATGTATTCCAGCTAGCAGGAAAAGAGAGTAAAAAAAAATGTTCTCTCTCCTTCGTGACAGATCTTGGAGTCACATATATTCCTTTCACTTAATTATGAGGACAAATCTAGCTCCCAAGAAAAATTTGATAACTTCTGTACAGGTTGACTATCCCTTATCTGAAATTCTTGGAACTAGAAGTGTTTCAGACATTTTTTCCAGATTGTTCTCATTTACATAATGAGATATCTTGAGAATGAGACCCAGGTTAAACATGAAGTTAATTTATGTTTCATATATACCTTACAGATATAGCCTGAAGGTAAACTTATATGATTTTTTTCATATAGCAGTATTTTTTTTTAAATTTGCCAGAGGGTGTGTATGCTCCCTGGAGAGAGAAACAGAGAAAATGGGAAAGTGAGAAAGCATCTCCTGTGGGAAACGTTCACACTGCAATCCCTTTTCCTCCATCTCCTCCTTTCAGAATTTTGGGCATGCAGACATGCCTGGCTTCTTTTTCAAGACACTGGGTCCAGAACTCAAATTGCATGGTTGGCCACATAGGAAGCAGCCGGCTTACCGCCATGCCACGGACTGCAGTGTTTTGACTATAACCCATGAGTGGAATTTTCCATTCATCCTGTCCTGTTGTTGCTTAAAAGGTTTCAGATTTTGGAGCATTTTCACTTTGGGATTTTTGCACTAGGAATGTTTAACCTATACGTTGACTAAGGAACAACATAACATGCCCAGCTGAAAGCATTATTTTTTCTTTTTCCCCAAAGAAGGGGGAGAAAGCAGATTTAGAGGTATCTAGTCACCTGTGTCACGTTTGGCAAACACTTGGTAGCTAACAACATTGTTAATGCAGTTATCTCTTTAGAGGCAGTTATTGGATGGCGATATAATTAATAGGTCTAGTGTATGAGCCATGCGGACATCTGAACATTAGTCTAACAACTGCAATAGTGTTTTCAACCAGTACACTTAAAATACCAGAAAATATTCTGTGGTCCAACCACTTCATTTTCTCAATGAGAATACTTAAGTGTAAAGAATAAGTGACCTTAGGATAGTGTGTGATTAGTTACGTTAGAAATTGGTACCAGAACCCACTTAAATGTTAGGAATCTATCACCTTGAGTCTGCGGTGCTTCACTAGCGCGTGTCTGATAAGGTGGGGTATGTGCTCTGGGTCGTTGACAACAGAGGAACATAAGGAGTATTTGAAGCACTGTCCTGAAGGAGAAGAAAAAGCCCAGTTCAAAGGAGTCATGCACACAGAGAAGAACTAAAACAGTCACTTAAAACTAGTATTAAGTGATCGTTTTCAAAAGGTGGTTGATGCATGTTATTGAACATAAAATTGATTACTATCATTGGAGGAAATAATTTATTCAAGGAGTTATAAACGAGAAATGTGGTATTTCATTTTGCTATCAATGCTGATTACCTTTGGTGTCAGACACACTCATATGGTATCTCATACTTTCAGTTTATTGCAACTTAAAAATATTTTCCCAGTAATTATACTATTTTAGATTGTTCTCATTTTCTTTTTTTACACTTTTCTAATTCTTTCTTAGCGTGGGTTGTCGGGAAAGTCATGACACATTTTTGCATAGAAAAATACACCCTGACTTTCCTGACCACCTAATATAGATATTTTGTCAAGTTTTCTCTTTCCTTCCTGCGTATGAACTCTATGGCAAATGATATATATGTTCAGCTGACCATTACTAATAATAGTTGATATTAAGTCAGGGCCTTGTTCGTTTGTTGTTTTGTTATTGCCTCATAAACTGTCATTAATTCGTGTGAGTTTGTGGGGTTTTTTTCCTGAAACTAATTAAGGATTTAAAATGCCAGTACACTAAATAATAGAATATAATTTGCTTGCTGGGTAAAGTCTCTTTAAAATCTAAATGTTGTATAGCAATTGAGTGTATGAATAATGACAATAATAAAGAAAAAAGAATACAATTTGTTCATGAGTCTCCTAGAATACTAAGATTTTTGCCTCATATTTAAAATACTAAGTCTCAATTTTTCAAAATGCATTACCTATTACTTCATTTTTAAAAGTATATGGTAAAAAAGATAATAGTAGTATTAAATAATAATTTAAAAGATACAGCATCTGGATTTTATATTTTATATTATAGCTATCATTAGTCATTAGCTTTACTGACTACTAACTTACCATTAATAGTAAATGTCATTTTTGACCAAAAAGATAGCATGTGTGATTTTGTAGTATGACAGTTTAATGCTACAGTACTGAGCTTGACCGAAGACACATGGACACATACCTGTCTATAGGCAATGTTAGCCAGAAAAACACAGTGAGGAGCAGTACCCCTATTCCTTAGGATTGGGGAGGCTAAGATATCTCTAATATCTGTAGCCGCTAACATCCTAAGTAGTCTCTAATCAATAAAATAATAATACTTTTGAACCCTCTTCTGTATTCAACATAAGACATTTTGGGCTCTAATGGTCATTAGACTACAAAACTACTTAGGGTAAATACAATATTCCCTGCTTTAGGCTACAGTATTATCAACTTATTAGATTAGTGCTAGTTATCTCTTGATAACCGGAGGCATTTATTGATACTACGTCTTTGAATAATATTTATGAAAAATATATTCTTACTATTACTTGATAAAAGAAGTTCACTGAATAAAATCCTTTAAAACACTCTCAGGGAAATTTATGAAATGCCTTCAGGGTAAAAAATATTCAAAGGATTATTCTATCGTTTTATTTTTTTGTTCATATTATAATAGTTACCAGCATTAACCATTTTATTATGCTCTTCCATAACAACTTAAATTTCTTGTGAATCAGATTTTGGAGGTAGAATACCATAACATTTGTATGTTTTAATTGTGATGAAAATACTTGACCTTGGCTGTATTCCTGGTTCTGTTTAGTTTGTGTTATGACCAGGTAGAAGTTTACATTTTTTTTTTTTCTCCAAGATCACCTTTGGAGGTATTCCCTTCTCTGGAAAGCCAAGTTCCAGCAGCAGGAAGAACTTCAAAGGCTGCATGGAGAGTATTAACTACAATGGCATCAACATTACAGATCTGGCCAGAAGGAAGAAATTAGAGCCCTCAAATGTGGTAAGAATTTGGAGCCCCACAATATTGGTCTATTAAAAAAAAAAGAAAGAAAGAAACTTTTTTTTTTTTTTATGGATTTGAACAACAAAATCATCGCATCTCTCATCATATTTACATTGGACTGGACAAAGTAAAACAAATTTGAGAGTTACTTAATATGCTCTAAGTATTGATCATGGTTTTAAGTTAAACTAGCCTGAAGTAAGTGGCAAATTTATTCAGATGAGACGTGGAATGTGGGACGCAGTGTCTCGGTTCCGCGGCAGGAGAATGCACTTCAGCGCATGCTTGCCCAGCTGTTGTGTGATCCTTACATGGGCAGCATCAGGTTTCCAAACGTCTAAATACAGATGCTCCATGCTTCTAGCTTATGATTTAATAATGTTTTTAAACCAATAACTTTATTATATTCACTCTCGTGCTTCCAAAAATGATTGTTCAGGTATATGAGTAAGTATCCTTTCATCGAAGTGTGAATCATGCAGGGAGAAGCAGCAGTTAGTGTAATGGCTATGTCGCTGGACTCCCACGTAGTCAACCACAGTTTGCATCCCGGACCCGGTGGCTTAAAACTCACGCAGGGTGCATGTGCGTGCATGTCCAAGATCCCTAGAGGAGAATGGAGGAGAAGGGATGGCGGTGTGACCATCCCCCCTGGGGGGTGATTTCTCGCTTTCTGTCTCTATGTCTCTCTCTGTCTGTCTGGCGAGCGCACGCGCCCTATAGTGAAAACCTCTCAAAAAAAAAAAAATGCGAACCATGCTAAATTGCAATTAAATAAAGTTTGATTACCATTGGATAGGGAAATATCTGTGCCTTTGTTTTGTTTTCAGTTTTTGTATGAGTTGGTTCTAGGTTTAACTAGATTTTAGGGAGGAGGGCAAAAGTCAAAGGTTGCCCTGACACCTGCCTCCCTGGAACATGGCTTAGGATTCTTGAGAGATATTAAGGTAATCATGTCAGATAGGGATTCAGTATGGTTCTGCAAAACCAAAAGATACTTTGACCCAGAAATATTAAGAAGAGCATGGGATTCCAGGGACCCATACATTCGAGAGGCACTAGAAATCAAGCATATCTGGTGTTTACACTATTCTCTGAAGATCTCCTGTAATCTTATTGCCCCAAATTTAAGCCTGGAGTTTTCATGAAATAATTGAACAAATAAAAAATCCCAGATGTATAAAGTTCAGGTTGCATGTAAGAAACTTTAAAACCATAATTTAATGCAAAATAATTCCATAATAAATAATTTCCTAGAAAATGATAATTTATACTAATAATAAAAAATTGAGTATCAATGAGACATTTGCATAGTATAAAGAACTATAAAGAAAAATAGCAATAGGTCCATTACAGATAACAAGCACTAAATTAGGTATGCCACAAGCATTCTGATAATCTGGGCAACGCTGCAGGAAAAATACAAATATTTTGTATAATAGATAAGAGAAAGGGGTTTTCTTTAAAAATTGTCTGTAAGGTACATGAGCTCACCAGAACTCACCAGAGAGAGTCAGAGAGAGATAGGGAAAGTGAGAAAGCACCCAATGGGGGAATAAGTGAGAAGCACCCCCCAGGGGAATAGACACTCTGCAATCCCTTCTCCATTCTCCTCGGGATTTGGGGTACATATGCACACACACCCAGTGTGTTTTTTCAAGCCACCAGGTCACAACTCAAACCTCATAGTTGACCATGTGGGATCCAATGCCTTAACCACCATGCCACCAACTGGCCCTTATTTCTTATTTTTATATGGATTAAAATAAAAAGGTACACAATCTAAATCAATAGATTACAATTTCCATTGTTTATACCTTTAAGAAAATGTAAAATATTGTTTCTGCCCAAGCTAACCATTGGTGCTGAGATGTATCCATTTGGTACCTAAAATATTAAGAATTGCATGATGGAGACTCATTTCAAAACCAACTTCAATTTAACTGCAAAATGCTTGGGGATTATAAATGTGGTTTTAAACTTGAATGGCAAAAATATTTAATGGGGCATAAATATTCTAAAGGTTATTTTGTTTTAACAAGTAATTGCATAGGCAGACATAGAATAAACTTTGAGTCCAAATATGCATACATACTGAAAATTTTAGGAAGGATAGAGACAAGTAGGATATTTTGCAAGGAGGCCTACAAAGGCAAATATTTATATAAGAAATTTGCTTTCCAAGATGTCAGGGGCTGATATTACAATGAAATTCACTCAGCACCATCCTACATCGACTCCACAGTCAGCAGCATTGCTCAGGGAGGATCTTTAATTTTGTGGGGAGGCAATCCCCACAACGCAGGTATGTGGTCAGTTATGACATTCCAGTTATTATGCATACTCAGTTCCTTCCATCAGCAAAAGCAGGCATTGGAAATAATCATCCGTGAAAGTACAGAGCAAATTTAATTTCGGTATTATTTCGGAGAGACAGTTTGCCTTAGATTCACTGGTTAATGTGCTGAAATAGAGGTAGGTCTCTGTTTAAAAAAGTAAATATGTATATTTATAAACACACATATATGAAAAATCAATGAAAGCATCTTGGGCATTGAAATGTAACTATATCTGAATGGTAAATCAGATTTTGTTTCTTTATACCCAAAAGGAGGAGTGTGAGGAGAGATGTAAATGAATTACTTCAAATTTTGTTTGCATTTTCTCTATTTATACTACCAGTTGCACAAACATTGTATTATGATATAAGCACACTTCATGGGGCTTTCAATGGGTTTGGGGTTAGATAACAAAGTAATATGAAATAATTCCAATTATGCTGATTCTAAATAGTTCATGTTAATTTACTTATATTAGATATGCAGATACAACCCAAAGATATTTCCCCAACAATAGCATTTTAATAAATAGCAAACTGGGAACCAGCAGTTAGTGTAATGGCTATGTCGCTGGACTCCCACGTAGTCGACTGTAGTTCGAGTCCCAGACCCGGTGGCTTAAAACTCACGCCAGGTACGTGTGCGTGCGTGCCCAAGATCCCAAGAGGAGAATGGAGGAGAAGGGATTGTGGCATGACCATCCCCCCTGGGGGGTGATTTCTCGCTTTCTGTCTCTATGTCTCTCTCTGTCTGTCTGGCAAGTGCATGCACCCTATAGCGAAAATATTTCCAAAAAAAAAGAAAAATAAATAGCAAACTGGGCCTGCCCAATGGTCCAGTGGTTTAGAGAGCCAGATCCCTCATGGTGTGAATCCTGCCCTGGTAGCTAGGAAAACATGCCAGGCATGTGTGCACGCATCCCAAATTCTAACAGCTACATAAATGGAGGAAAAGGGGTTGTGGCATGACTATTCTCACTGGAGGGTGCTTTGTCCCTTTCCCTCTCTGTCCCTCTTTCTTGGTGAGCACACACACCCTCTAGCAAGTTAAATAATCAATCAATCAATAAATAAATAAATAGCAAACACACATGCAATCAAAAACAAAGAAAAACATAGTTCTCACTGAGATCAGAGTAAATAGCATATTAATGAACACTGACAATGGCCACTCAGAAGGAGTCAAGGGCATCTCTTCCCCATCCTGCATCTGTCAGCAGCAGCCTTGCAGTCTTCAGAAAGGCCAGTGGTTCACACTCAAGCCCCAAGCATAGTACACACTCCCCATCTCACAGTCAGCCTGTTACATCAGGCTGTCCGGCTGTCCATCCCATGGAGAATGGTGCTTGCTATGTCTACAGCTAGAGGGCCACCTGGTGTACAGTGTTGGGTCTTACAGTCCAAGCAGGTTTGCAGTTGTTACCCAGCCACCGAGTCCACACCATGTTGCCAAGTATGAGAGCTTGGCACAGGCTCCTGCTGTGCTTTGAAATCCATGGAACCGTAGCTTTTTCAACAGGCTTACGTAGATGTGTATTCTATTCTGCATTTGTCTCAAAGAACATCCTTCTTTTTTATAGGGGAATTTGAGTTTCTCCTGTGTGGAACCCTACACTGTGCCTGTCTTTTTCAATGCCACAAGTTACCTGGAGGTACCTGGACGGCTTAACCAGGACCTGTTTTCAGTCAGTTTCCAGTTCAGGACTTGGAATCCCAATGGGCTTCTGCTCTTCAGTCAGTTTGCAGAGAATTTGGGCAACGTGGAGATTGACCTCGCTGAGAGCAAAGTGGGCGTTCACATCAATGTCACGCAGACCAAGATGAGCCAGATCGACATATCCTCAGGTCAGTGAAATCCAGTGGCAGATGTGCTTTTCATAGCTGAAGGTTTGCTTCATTTTGTTGGGGGTGACATGCTCATGATTATATTTTAATTCACTTGAGATACTTGGTTGTCCTGACTGTTGATAAAATAAGAGAAACCTGGAAAATCACAAGGGGGTGAGACACAGTCAGGGAGGAAAGCTGGCTGAGACTGTGTTACAGCATCAAGATCACCTATTCTTCACACATGCCAGTTCATATTTAGCGTAAAAATGGCTATTTCTCTAAGTAAATATTTTATGATTAAAAACAAAGAATGTTTAGTTTAATAATGAATCAGTACCTGGTATCGTTTGACTTCATAGATACTCAAGTATTTTTTACTCTTATAGAGATGATTCTATCGATTGTAATTATAACTTTAACAGAATACTCAATTTCCTGAATCAAAACTTTAAAATTATCTTTTATAATTTAAAAAAAAGATATTCATTGAAATTATTGTCAGAAAAAAAGGGTTAATGTAAAAGGAATGACAAGATATGTGTATCAACTGAGGGAATACTTGGTTGGTTAAAAATAGGGTGATTAATAAAACTTGGCACTATAGTGATATAAGCTGAGGCTTAGGTATCGATCTTCCTACTTGAAAAAAATTACAATCTTGGAATTGCTTTGAATATTATGGTACAAATAAAACTGATACTCCTAGGTAAGACGTGACACATAAAACTTTTGGCACAATGTGGAACTGATAAAGTGTACATTTTTACCAAATTTCTCTAGATGTTCCTTGTAGTAGGAACACTATGTTTATTTTTGTGAATACCTACTTAGACACAGGAGATAGAGAAACAGCTAGCAATTACTGAGCACTTAGTCCACATGTCCTAAACACAGAGTAGAAGCCGTGACAGAGGACTCAAAGGCGTCATTTCTCAGTGCACCATTCTCTCACGATATCCTGTGTATACACCTGGATATGGAGACACAGTTTCCAACAGGTTATTTTATTTGTGATCATGTCACGAATCTTCTAGGCTATAAGCTCCTTGGGCAGGGGCTGTGCCTGTTCTTCTGCTCTCTCTAGCTTGTAGAAATATGCCTGTAACATGAGGAGTGCCCTGGGTTTAATACTCTGGCTTTTTGAAATATTTTTTGGTAATGAACTACCTTCTGTTAAAGCATGTATCATGTCTTATAGAATAACCATTGTGTTTCTGTATGGTTTGGTTATATGAGCTTTTACTGAAAAGATTCAGGTAAGATGTAAAAATCATTATGTCACATGTGTGTCTGAATTATCCAAATCAGAAGCTACTATGAAATACTGTTACCAAGCAAGTGGATTCATTGCCCAGTGGGCATAGCAGCCAATTACTATGTGTGACACAGATCTTGAAGCAAGGACGGATTTTACTGTGTAACTGGCTAGCAAGGGGTCAGGAGCAAGCCTTAGATCTGTCTCCTCTGATTGTAAGAGGGTAGGGGTCTTATACAGCAGGAGGAGAAGGGAGAGGTATAGGGTAATGTTTGCTAGCCTCGCGTGGGTTGGTGAGAGGCTGAGAGACTATCAGTGTTACAGTGTGGTGAGGTTGCTTGGTGGTCTAGGATTGGTTAGTGAGGGATCTCTTGTTTCTGATAGCTATCGCAGAAACAGGTCCCATTCTTTTGCTTCCATTGCAAATAGCATTTTCCTTCCTGTGACAAATGGGGCTAACTTTGGGTCCCACAGCCCTCTCGAGGGCATGCATTTGTAGGTAAGCTCACGCACCAGCTGCTGGTACTAGTTTTTTCCTCTTAGGCCAGTTCTAGTTGGTTTTAATACCTTTTTTTAAAATGTAATATTCACACTCTCTGTTTTTGCTTTGTTAGTTTTGCCTTTTCCTTGAATGTTCAGTCAGAATGATTGGTCAACCATGTTTTACCTGTATTTCCCAGTGTAAGTTCACCTGGGGTGATGTAGAATAAACAGAAAATACCTGGAGAGGCAAAATAACAGATAAAACAAATGCACATACAGATGTTTCCCACAGTTGAAAAACTCCCCACTAGATGCTTTTTAAAACAATGATTCTTTTCTGATCACTAAACATGTAAATATATTACAATGAAGTCTTCCCTGATGCCATTTTCAGAGCAAACTCAATTTGCTGATGGGTTTCCATGTAACATGAACCATTGTGTTTGAAATAATAAGATCTTAAACATAGCCATCAGTAAATATTTATTAACCTAATTTGGTCTAATTTAGGATTTCAAGTCCCTATCATCTAATTTAAGTTGTGTTTATTAAAAAGATGAAAGAAAGAAAGAATAAATGAATCCAACATGTGACCACTAACTCAATAGATTTGGATCAAGATGATAAAAATGGACTTCAGAAATTTTTGTCAATTTAGCTAAGACCCTGTGCAAAATATAGAAAACTAATATTAAAAAACTAATATCAACTCTCAACTTTGCTATATTCACATTTATTATATAGTTCAGTGAAAAATGCCTTAGTTGGGACCAGCAGATGGTGTAGCAGTTATGTCACTGGACTCCCACATGGCCACCCTGGGTTTGGGTCTCAGACCCCATGTCTTGAAAATCATTCAGGTCACGTGCTTGTGTGCCCAGGATTCTGGGAGGAGAATGGAGGAGAAGGGATTGTGATATGGTCATCCTCCCTAGGGGGTGATTTCTCACTTTCCCTCTCACAGTGTCTCTCACTAGCAGGCACACATACCCTAAGGCCAAAAACCTCTTTAAAAAAAAAAAAGAAAGAAAGAAAGAAAAGAAATGAAAGAAAAATGCTTTTTTCTTTCACTGAGAAGTTTTTGCTATAGGGCACGTACACTCCCCAGAAAGACAGAGAGAGATAGAGAGACAGAACGCGAGAAATCATCCCACCAGGGAGGATGGTCACACCACTCTCCATTCTCTTCTTAGGATCCTAGGCACACACGCACACGCGCCCAGCGTGAGTTTAAGCCACCAGGTCCAGGACTCGAACTGTGGTCAACTACATGAGAGTCCAGCGACATAGCCATTATGCTAACTGCTGGTCCCGCCTTAGTATTTTAAATATTTCCTTTTTTTGTACACATAGTGGAAACTAAAGATGCATTATGTATCATTGTTTATATTTGAGAAAGATTACTAGGTGAACAAGTTCACATCCATTAAAAAAGTTGTATCTTGCACTCATTCATTTATCCTAGAAATGCTTATGGAATCCATATAAGACAATTACATCTGGACTTTAATGTATTTTAACTTAGAGTAAGTATCAACAATGGGAAAATTGTTATCCAGGACACTAATGTTTGCTTTGACAAAGAAAAATATATTGTTACGATATCTGCTCTACTTTTCTGACTTGAGCATCAAAGAATATCTGTCCATTTTATGGATACTTTCTGATATCTGCTCTACTTTTCTGACTTGAGCATCTAAGAATTTCAGTCCATTTTATGGATACTTTCTTATTTTTTAAAAAAAAGAATTATTTGTTTAATTTTAGTTATCATTATTATTTTTAAATTTGCTACAGAATATTCTCTAATATCTGCTCTACTTTTCTGACTTGAGCATCTAAGAATTTCAGTCCATTTTATGGATACTTTCTTATTTTTTTAAAAAAAGAATTATTTGTTTAATTTTAGTTATCATTATTATTTTTAAATTTGCTATAGAATATTCTCTCTCACCAGAGAGAGAGAGAAAGAAAGAGGGGGAAAGTGAGAAAGCAAGCCGCCAGGTCCAGGACTTGAACTGCATCCAGTGCCTTAATCACCACTCCACTTGCTGGCCCTGATACTTCCTTCTTGAAATAGTTTGGTTGTAAAATTTTTGAAAATATGAAAACTCAAGCAAAGCAAAATTCCCATTACTATCATTTCAGTTTATGTAGAGTGCATTGAGAGATGGCTGTGGAGATGCTCATATCGTAGGGAAATACCTGTAACTCGGTTTCACTTTTGGTTGATAAATTATGTGCACCAGGATGAAGGTAACCCAAACACTTCTAAAACCTTTTGTCTCATGTTGGACATCATGATTCTTTGAGGATTAACTCAAAAAAGATCTTATTAGAGAATATTCAATGTATTGGTGACTTTCGCATATCTCCCCTCTGAGTCGTGATTGCTTCTCGAGGGCCACAGCAGTCATTGTCAGTGAATGCAGCTTGCAAAGTTCGGCCATATTCTGAGTAGACTGGAATTTGCAAGATGGGTTATCTTTTTGTGAAAATATTTTCTATTTTCTTAGTTTCTTAGTTTCTATTTCCTTAAATATTTCCCAAGTTGCAACATGCGACAAACCTTAAAAAAAAAAACCTCAACTGTATTTCTTTCTGTAGAACAGTAGTTACTGACTTATAAATACATATTTATGCATTACCTTTAACTAGAAATAAGTGGTGAAAGGAAAAAGAGTGTCAAAAAGGACCTAGTAGATACCTGTTCACTGTGAAGCTTACATTTTCTTTTAACTTTTGAAATGTAGGACCCTGGGGAGATTGGACATAGGCCAGTGCTATTCAAATGATCTTGATCCAAACACAGTAAATAAGTACTTTATGTCACGTTCAGTACCTACTGGTACAAAGCTTACGAAATAGAATTTTACCTTGTTATTTTAGATATACTAGAGGAGACCATCAGATGGTGTATAGGTTATGTTACTGGACTCCCACATGGCTGCCCGTGATTCGAGTTCCAGACATGATGGCTTGAAAATCACCCAGGGGCCCACGTGCATGAGTGCCCAAGATCCAGGGAGGAGAAGGAGGAGAAGGGATTGCTGCATGGCCATGCCCCCTGGGGGGGGTGACGTCTCACTTCCCTATCACTCTGTGTATGTGTGTGTGTGTCTCTCTCTGATTCCCACTCATGTCCTAACACAAAAACTTCTGGAAAAAAAAAAAAGGATACATTAGGGTATTGGGTTTTCAGGAAAGTCATGACACATTTTTACATAGAAAAATATAGAAAAATATGTCATGACTTTCCTGATGACCTAATAATAAT